GATTTGAAAGCACGTTTCAGGAGGGAAAATGAGGCCAATAACTGGAATGGGCTAAGACGTATCAATACGTCTGAGTGGATGACTGTAAAAAAAGAAAGATCCAATTTACTGATGCAACAGAACGGTAAGGAGGCAAGCATGAGACAAAATGTGCTTCAAATCCACAGTGAACTGTTTGTTGAGTGGGGTGCAAAGAGAAAGCAGCACTTCAGTCTTCAGAGACATGCTGCACTCTCTGGTTTCCACCTTCATGACGAGCGATACGATCCCAGCAGTAACGCCTGCTAACATACAGTATGTCAAACGTTACGTAAGAAGCACTTAAAGGCAGTTGAAGTGCAAATAGTGCTGAGTGTTATGGACTTAACCTTCACAGTCCCTGAGCCCAAACATATTTGAACATTTATGGCCACTCGGTGACGGAAAATGCCAACCATTCCTCATATCGCTATAACAACAGGATAACAACACCGTTATTCAGTTTTTATTCCAGTTCAAATAAGGCAAAGTTATTCTAAAACCCCAAATCTTTTTATTCGATTACTCAAGGCAAGTTTATTTATATAGCACAATTCAACAGCAGGGTGATTCAAAGAGCTTTACAGAGACATTAGAAAACTAAAACAAATAAAAAGCATGATTTAAAATGGAAAAACAAACAAAAACAAACAAAAAACATTAGATAAAATCAGTAGTTAAAAGGTGCTTTATTCCAATATAGCTGAGAACAGGTGAGTCTTCAACCTGGACTTAAATAAACTGAGTGTTTCAGCTGATCTGAGGCTTTCTGGGAGTTTGTTCCAGATGTAAGGAGAATAAAAGCTGAAGCTTCTCCGTGTCTGGTTCTGACTCTGAGAACTGATAAACTAAACTCACTAAAATAAAAACAACAACTTTGATGTGTTTATATTTTAATCATAATAACAGTAATAATGCTAATTTGTATTTTACAACAGGTGGACTTTTTTTTTTTAATCCCACCTGTTGTACAGGCAGGGAATGAACAGGCAGATGGGATATCAGTCTGTGACAACCTGGAAGTGCAACAGTTTTCCCACAGATAGAGCTGATGATGCTAGCCAAGTCACATAAATGCAGAAGGGAGCCAATGGGAGCTGAACACCAGGAAGAGACAGAAGGTGGTGAGGAATGCACAACAAGCTAACAACAGGAAATAAGAAGCAGCCTGAGCAGGAACACAAAAGGGGAAAATTGAGTTGAGAGGCAGAAAAGCAAGTAAATGAGAGAGAAACGGTACAAAAGACACAGCGTGAACAGAGCGAGGACACAATGGAGCTTTAGCTTCAGCACGAGCAGTCACTTTAGCTTCTATGTGCCAGATATTAGTGTGTGCATCTATGGCTGTGTCAATAAAACTCCCGCTTTGTTAGTGTTGGCCTTAAATGCTCAACATGTTAAGTAGAGATCAAGTCTGCTGTGAAGTGGGTTTTACTGCTGATATGATCTCCTTCTCAATGTTTAACTCTCATAGCTTAACTTTGCTTTATTAACACAAAACTGTTAAATGATTTGATATTATAATAATGTTATAATTTTATATATTATATTGTCTTTTACAGAGTTCACAGCAGGTTTGCTTTGCCAGGATCAACAATAAGTAATGCAAATTTAAAACATGTGAAAAATGATTTAAATGAAGACTTGATTGAATATTTAGCAGCCACAAACGCAACAGTTGTAATTTTCATTAGTGCCATTCACACAGTCTTTGTGTGATGCTTCTGGAGCTCGACTCTGAGAGGTTTAAGTACAGTTGTGCTGTGGCGAGGAAGCAGACCTTCTTTACCAGAGGATAAAGGTTCAGTTAGATCAAGTACAATCAAAAATAAATAAAAACATTTCTAATGTGAGGGAGATTCTGAGTTCCAGATCAAGTGGTATTGTAGACGAGATATATATTATAATACATTATTAGAATGACTGTGAACACAGGCTAACGTATCATTCACAGCTCTGCACATATCTATTTTTAATATTTTCTATTTGTCCCTCTCAGCAGCTTCATCTCGTCTCCTTTCCTGATTTTTTTTCTATCATTAAGCAGTGAAAATTTATTCTGTTTCCCTGCATTTGTATTTGTTAACAGCCTGTTTGTTTCATAGTTACAGGCTCAAAGAAAACCCTTTAAAATATCCTCGCACTTCCTTAAAGGCAAAATGGTAAATGGCCTGCATTTGTATAGCACTTTTCTAGTCCCTAAGGACCCCAAAGCGCTTCACACTACATCCAGTCATTCACACACTGGTGATGCAGCTACGTTGTAGCCACAGCTGCCCTGGGGCGCACTGACAGAGGGCCGGACACTGGCGCCACCGGGCCCTCTGACCACCACCAGCAGGCAAACATGGGGCTAGTATCTTGCCCAAAGATATTTGACATGCAGCCAGGAGGCAGCCTGGGATCGAACCACCGACCTTCTGATTAGTGGCTGACCTGCTCTGCCACCTGAGCTACAGCCACCCAATCACTTCACATTTTGAAGTGATTCCCCAAAGCAAGACAGACATGAACATGCTGATGTCAGAGCTCATTGTGTTGGACTGAAAAACACAGGCACCACACTGATGATATTCCCAGCATCATAAAGGTCAATGTGCCACGATTTCTTTTTACAAGTCAAGTCCCTGAAGTGAGTTGCATACTAATGTACTTGTACTGTAACTAAATGCTTACGGATGCAGTGGCTGATGTTATAATGTTGTGTTTGCTTAATCTGCTCGCTGCTCCGCATGTTTTGGTCATTTCATCCTTTTTTTCCTCTTATGTTAAAATGCTTGGTCTGATCTTTTTGTGTTCATGCAGGAATGGAAAGATTCAGGTAAAAGCCTAAAAATATGGAGCAGAATATGCAACACTGATCTGCTCACCTTGAAATAGCAGCGTTCCCCTTGATAAAAGGCTAATAAGTCTAATCAGGCCTGATTAATTACACCGATAGGCACTGTTGTTGCCAGCCTAATTGATGGCTTTATCTGTGTTTTGCTCTGTGCTGAAGGGATGATGGTGCTTCACAGAGACGCTAGAAAGGTTTAACATTAGCCCACATGAAGGTTATTGGTGTCAGAATAGAGACCTGGTTGATGGGGCAAAGGGTTCCTCCGTCCCAGGTAGAAAAAGGCCAACTGAGGTACGTTGTAGGTCTATGGGCTAAGCGCTCGCCTCCATACTGACTGACTCTTCAGTCTGCTGTCTTTTCAGTTACAGCTCATGCCTCAGGAAATCCAGAGAGTGTCTGTGCCCCTCTGAATGATAGCACATACGGAGGCTTTGTATTAGACTTGAGGGAACAGCTATTCATTTGTGTCAAGAGCCCTTTTCAGACCTTATTCTGTTTGATTACAAGAGGAATCATTGTGACTGTAAGCCATGTAATCACCACTGCACACCTGCCCAGGGGAGTGTTGCCGCTGCTGCTGAGAATAAACACAAAGTAAAAGATTTTTCAATTCAAGTAAGAAAGAAATTAAGCAGAGCTTAAAAGCGTTTGTTATTGTAAGGACCCACATGTTTGTAATCGTTTTGAAGAAAACTGTATTTTGTTTAAATTAAATGTAGGGCTGGTGGTTTGAATGTCAAAATCAATTTGGCATCACTTGTAAACAGAGATGGGCAGTAACACGTTACTGTAATCCGATTACTTTTTTCAAGTAACGAGTAAAGTAAGGGATTACTATTGCAAAAACGG